GCAGCACCAGCAGCGCGCCATCGGTCAGCGCACCGGCGTTGTCGTTCACTACGACGGCGGACGCGTTGGCCATCACCCCGTTGTCGAACACCAACCCATGCGCAGCGTACACCTGGCTCCCAGACACGCGCAGCACAGCGCCCCCCGACGCAACCACGCGCGCACTCGCGTACAATGCAACGTCGCCTCCGAACACAGCCGCATCCAGCGCAACACCGCCACCGACAACCTCCAGCACCGCGCCGTCCACCACCACCGTCCGCCCACCAGTCATCACAGTCACGAGGGCAACGCCGGACACAACCAGCACAGACCGCACGAGCCGCAGGCCCGACAGCACCAGCACCGGTGCGTACGGCGAGGACTGCGAGCCGGAAAGATACACGAGCGGCGTCGACCTCGCGGCAACCAGCAGGGAGCCCGTCACCGTCAGCAAAGACCCCGCGGGGAACGTGCCGGTCAGCACAAGCGCACCGTTCAGCGCCTCCACATCGCACACCGACAGCTCCACCGGCCCACTCTCGTCGCTCCCCGCCGCCACCGCACCGCGCAACGCTCCACCGCCCATCACGTACAGCACGGCGCCGTTCAGCAGCGACACGTTCTGCACAACAATCTGCACGCCGTCCCGCGCCATCCACGGCACGTAGAGCACCGGACTCACGCCGTCCAGCACAACGTGGCGCAGCGTCACCTCGCTCGCGCCGGCAGGCACAACGAACACAGACCGCACCGTCACGCTCTCGCGGAAGAACACGCTCGACGCAGTGCCCACAGCAGGCGGCAGCGCAGGAGCTCCCACAGGCACGCACGCCTCGCCGTACCCGCCGCTGCCGCACACGCACACGCACACACCGTTCTTCATGCTCGCCGCCGCCGTCCCGGGCGCGTAGCAGTGCGTGTCCCTGCCGCAGGCGTCGCACCCAACAACGTCGATGCTCCCAGCGTCGCCAAAACCAGCTGCTGCGTACTCCTCCGCCGTCGACAGGACACGGCCACCAGCGTCGTTGCACGCCACCCTCAAATGCGCCCCAACCGCAAGCGACAGGCTCACCGACAGCATCCGCGGCAGCAGCGCTCGGTTGCGCACAAAGCTCAGCGTGCTCCCAGCAGCGGTCACAGCGCCAGCGGCGTAGAGCATCTCCCTCGAGACACCGTCGTGCACGTTGCCCTTCGCCAGAAGCATTGACCCGCCATCCAGGCTCACCGTCGAATAAAACGCCACCGCGTAGTCCCCCGTCGACGCAAAGTCACTTCGCACAAGCGCCACAGCGGAGCCCGACACGCTCACAGCCCCACGCACAGACACCGCGTGCTTGCACAGCAGGAAGTC